TAGTTTATATATTGAACTTACTTTCAAATGTTACTTTATACATCATATCTATTTCGAGTACTACCGTGAATATTATATCTACCTGACATCTCCAAATATTAGTCTATGTATTAGACTTGCTTCCAGATACCACTTTATATACTATATCTACTTCCAAATACTACTCCAAAATTTGACTTATCTCCAAGGATTACTATATACATCATACTCACCTCCAAACACTACTGTTTCCTCCATCTACCCAACAGTTAGACTGGAAAATGGTCAAATAATTAACTTCTTTCACACCATCATTCGGTTGTCGGGTATCTCCCTCCCTTAACCTAGGTAGTTGTTATACGGACGGCTAGGCCAGGGGTTCAGGGGCTGCTAAAATCGTAATAAACTTCACCTTTTTTTTTGGATCTCGAAGTAAAAACATAAAACAAAAATCAACTGCCAAAGTCATGAATGATAAGCATCCTCATACCGACAATATGTGTAAGTACCTATATCATAATACAAAAGTTTCATATTCTCTTCTCCACCTACAACTCCAACTCCAACTCCAACTCCAACTCCACCTCCGGCACCAATTCAGCACATAAACCTTGACATGAAAAGATGGAGAAATCATACAATCATGAATGCAATTCTCATGCTCAAGTTGAGCTATTCATGCTGTGTTCATACATTCATCCAATGTCTAATCAACTGAATGTTATCAGCAAGTCATTTGTCACTATCTGGGCTTCCACAGCATTTGCACCCATAACTACCATGGCGCTTATTGGATCCCGCTGTCGTTTGGGTACTCGTACAGCGTCAAAACAGCCTCCCATGGGATTTGGAAAAAGCCACAATGGTTATAAGAATACACTAAACCAATTTCGAAAGCGGTCAGCTGCCCCCTGGTTCAATCACGAGCTATTCACGAGCTATCACAAGTGACAGAAGAGCAAGCGAGGCTTTTTTGTCTCAACATTCTGGTATCTCAAAGTCTCAAAGTACTTGGTATTTTGCCTCCCTTTGCGTGTCCTGATTATCCTTTCTATTAATTCCTTCTTTCACGTCTTTCACGTCATAACATATGTGCATGCTCATAAGATTTACAACAGCATCAAATCAAACTCTTCGAAGAATAGCACAGACAGCTGGACATCTCAATACCCCTCAACTGAAAAAAATGGCGACCTTGGGAGCATGGAGTAAAAAGCATAAGGTGACGGTGGTTGGATCCGGGAACTGGTAAGTTACTTTCAAATCAAAACCAAGGAAATCGATCGTTTTATTGATATCTGCTAGGGGCTGTACCATTGCAAAGATTGTAGCAGAGAATACAAAACAACATTCCGATTTATTCGAGGAGGAGGTTCAGATGTGGGTTTATGAGGAGGACGTTACTATACCAAAAGACTCGAAACACTACGATGCCTCCAATGATTTCCCGCAAAAGCTTACTTCGATCATCAACAAATACCACGAGAATGTGAAATATCTGCCAAATATCCAGCTTCCAACCAATCTCATCGCCAACCCTTCTGTTGAAGATGCAGTTGCGAATTCCTCGGTTTTGATTTTCAATCTTCCTCATCAATTTATCGGTCGCATCACAAAGCAACTCCAAGGACATATTCTACCATTCGCGCGTGGAATTTCTTGCATAAAGGGTGTGAATGTGACAGCCTCAGAGATCAGTCTCTTCAGTGAATGGATCGGTGAAGGACTAGGCATATACTGTGGAGCACTCTCAGGTGCTAACATTGCCAATGAGATTGCAATGGAGAAATGGTGTGAAACCACGATTGCATATGATCCTCCCTCGATGGACTCGCGTGCCACAACTCCAACTGGACCATCCCCATCAAGCTCTCAAGTCAACCTCACTATTACACCTGCAGATGAAGAACACAAAGATGTTAAGGGAAGAGTCAGCAAGACAAAGTTGAAGGCCGTACCATCGGAATATCCGCCAATGGATCATGCTTTATTCAAGACATTATTCCATCGTCCATACTTCCATGTTCAGATGGTTTCCGATGTAGCAGGTGTCTCTCTTGGCGGAGCTCTCAAGAACATCGTTGCACTAGCTGCGGGTTTCGTTGAAGGACGTGGTTGGGGAGACAATGCAAAGGCGGCTGTTATGCGGGTGGGCCTTCTTGAAATGGTTAAATTCGGCAAGGAATTCTTTGGAGAGACTGTTCACGGTGGTACTTTCACCGAACAAAGTGCTGGCGTTGCCGATTTAATCACAAGTTGCAGTGGAGGACGAAACTTTAGATGTGCGAAGATGGCAATTGAAAGAGGAGTTACAGTCGATGAAGTTGAGAACACGGAATTGAATGGACAAAAGTTGCAAGGAACCAGTACCGCAAAAGAAGTCAATGAGTTTTTGAAGTCTAGAGGAAAGGAGGGCGAATACCCATTATTTACTGCTGTCATTAGTAAGTCATTGAGTCTACCTATACTTGCAAAGATTTCGCATACTAACAAGATCAGATATTTTGGAGGGCAGAAACACTGTTGATGATATCCCGGATTTGTTGGCCAAGTCGGATGAGTGAGAATTACAATAGCAATACATGGGGTGGGCTTACGGTAAAGACTAGATAGAAGACGCAAGTCTTTGATTAGAAGGTTAGATGAATATTATGGCTTACATCAATCCTCTTTTCCTATTCTTCCTCGGAGATCAGCCTCCAAGGTCCGTAAGGTTTTCTCCGGACCGACAATTTAAACTTATTTCTCGGAGATCTTCCCTCGGAGATCTGTAATAGCCATGCTCACTGTACGACGAGGTTCTGATTCCTTTGAAGATTTTGGTTCACCGTTCCGTGGGTTCTAGACCAATCAACGATCCACGTTAATAATTACAGGGGCTGACCCCACCAATGACATCGCTAAAACTTTTGTTGCGCGATGAATCATACGTCTCGAGCTTCTCAATGATTGCCCCGCGTACAGATTTCCAGAACCATTAATTCCATCTCTGAAAGAAAAATAATCTCACCTCAGCATACTGAATATAAAAATCCTATCCATTGAAGGAAATTAATTTTGCAAAATATAAAAGAAACACATTTATCTGAATATGTCGGTAAGTTACCAAACAAACACTCTTCTCATTCATCCAAGATGCCTCACTTCACAAGAAACCACTCTGACTCATTGAAGGCCTTCTACATAGAAAACCAGAACGTTGGACATAAGGACAGTACTGAAGATTGGCGCAGTAAGTATTGAATATTCCCTTTGCTCCAGCTTGTATCAAAGAGTGCGACTGACAAAGCTTCCCTACAGTTCGAGGATACAACCCATTGACGCCTCCCGATTTGCTTCAACATGAAATTCCTCAAACCCCAGAATCCAAAGCAACAGTCTTAAAGGGCCGCAATGAATCCGTCGATGTTGTGACTGGCGCAGATAAGAATGGCAGATTACTGGTAGTCATCGGTCCATGTTCAATTCACGATCCTGCCGCTGCGCTCGAATATTGCGACAAGCTCGTAGCTCTCAAGAACAAATACGAAGATGATCTTTTGATTGTCATGCGCTCTTACCTTGAGAAACCAAGAACAACTGTTGGCTGGAAAGGACTCATTAACGATCCTGATATCGACAATAGCTTCAAAATCAATAAGGGGTTGAGGATCAGCAGACAATTGTTCGTGGATTTGACGGCAAAGGGAATGCCACTTGCTAGTGAAATGTTGGATACTATTTCACCACAATTCTTGGCAGATTTATTGAGCGTTGGAGCTGTTGGGGCTAGAACTACTGAGAGTCAACTGCATAGAGAATTGGCCAGTGGATTGAGTTTCCCAGTTGGTTTCAAGAATGGTACGGACGGTAGTCTTGGTGTAGCTATCGATGCAATTGGTGCTGTGCGACATCCTCACCACTTCCTTTCAGTCACCAAGCCTGGTGTCGCTGCCATTGTTGGTACAGTTGGAAATGAAGATTGCTTCGTCATCCTCAGAGGTGGTACTAAAGGTACTAATTATGATGCCAAGAGTATTGGAGAGGCAAAGGCTGCACTTGAGAAGAATGGTGTCAGACAAAGATTGATGGTTGATTGCAGTCATGGAAATTCATTGAAGAACCACAAAAATCAACCAAAGGTTGCAGCTGTATTGGCTGAACAAATTGCTGCAGGAGAGGATGCCATTATGGGTGTCATGATTGAGAGCAACATTAATGAAGGTAAGATCACTCAACCAATTTTTATGACGAATTATCACTTACTTTGTCATCAGGCGCTCAAAAGGTTCCAAAGGAAGGAAAGTCCGGTCTCAAACATGGTGTCAGTATTACTGATGCTTGCATTGGATGGGATGACACCGAGTCGGTTCTTGAAGAGCTAGCAAACGCTGTTAAGCAAAGAAGAGAGCTCAAGAATGGTTCAAATGGGAATTGAAGGGCAGGAGAAATCGGATGAAGTAGATGGTTGTTAGGTTGGAATTGGAGGCGCATATAACAAGTATAGTCATGTCTCCTTTGTCAGTAAGGAGTTATTGGTTTGAAAAAAAATAGGTTTTCTGAATAGTTACATTTTGCAAAGCAATGGATATACATAATTTTGCAGTCAATTTGTGGTACAATAAGTTGTTCTGGAGTGAAAAGACCAATCATGTTCTGCATAATATAATTTGTCAGCACCAAAGTGGAAAAATCACATCTGACCAAATGATAAAATGTATGGCAGCTTAGAAAAGAATCAAAAGTTTCGACAATTAGTATATCTTCATTGCAATGTAGAAATAACATCATGGACTTTCATTTTACCGGGGAAGATTCTAATATTTAAGATTTTGTAGCCATGATTGTCCGAGAAATAATCGTGTAATGAGTTTCAACCAATCAAAATCCATTCAGTGGTAAGCCTGTGCCTAAGGCATAATTTAGCTTCTTTTTCGGATCATTTTCGAACTATTTGTCGCCGCACCCTCACAACTTCAATCTCGAATCCTATTATTCAATTGATCAGTCAAACCCACCTTGAACTGATTCCCAGCTCAAGGCATATTTTGCACAATATGTTGGCCAGATCATGCCTGCGCTCGACGCGCTCGTTCGGGGGAGTACGGAATAATGCAATTAACGCTACAAAGGTATAATTATTCCCCATCCCCGAGGTCAAGATATACAACACTTCGATGTGGGCAGCAGTGATAGCATGGGGGCAGTCCAATGTGTTGAACTGAAGACTAATGTTATATCTTATAGCGTGCTGCATCTACTTCCACTTCCGCCGAAGCCGCTTCCCCCTTCGGTATCAACATGGCTGCAGGTGCTGCTACCGCTGTGGCGGCAGGATCCCTCGCCTGGTACTATCATCTTTATGGCCAGCCATTAAACGCCATGACACCGGTTGAAGAAGGGTGAGTAGTCACATAACTTTCCAAGTCAAGTCGAACATTTGTGGGGTGATGGGAACTCCGGCAATACCAAATGAAGACTACAAGACAAGCAGCATATAAGTTGGAATACAATACTGATACGACACCAGTCTTCATCCAACACAATACCCATGGGTCCACCAACAATACGCAAAGACATTCGATCACCAAGCGTAAGAATCCCATTTTCTATTAAGCAAATTGGCCTGTTTTAACAAAAAAGAATAGATTACGAAGAGGTTTCCAAGTTTACCAAGAAGTTTGCGCATCGTGCCATTCTTTGAGCCGTATTCCATACAGAGCTTTGGTCGGTGTTACACACACAGTCGATGAGGCAAAGGCTATGGCCGAAGAGAACGAATACGACAGCGAGCCAAACGATGAGGGTGAAATCGAAAAGCGACCTGGAAAACTCTCCGATTACCTCCCATCCCCATACAAGAACGATGAAGCCGCTCGTGCTGCCAACAACGGAGCTTTGCCACCTGATCTCAGTTTGATGGTCAAGGCCAGACACGGCGGTGCCAACTATATTTTCAGTTTGTTGACTGGTTACCCAGATGAGCCCCCAGCAGGAGCCAAGGTTCCAGAAGGACTCAACTTCAACCCATATTTCCCAGGTACCGGTATTGCTATGGGCCGTGTTCTTTACAACGAACTTGTTGAGTATGAAGATGGCACCCCAGCATCAGCATCACAAATGGCCAAGGATGTTGTCGAGTTCCTCAACTGGTCAGCCGAGCCTGAGATGGATCAACGTAAGAAGATGGGTATGAAGGTTTTGGTTATTGGATCTATGCTTTTCGCCTTGAGCATTTGGGTTAAGCGTTACAAGTGGTCCCCTATCAAGACAAGAAAGATCGTGTATAGCCCACCTAAGACTGGCAACGGTCCTGCACATCACTAGATTCTCAATTTCATTTGTTTAATCGGGGAGCGAAGGACAGGAAATAAATGTGCTACTAGTTTTATCTTACTGCGCGAATTGTACAAAGGAGAAGTTTTAAATGAGGGTGGTAGATAAAAGCTTCACTTTGGGAGCTAATGCTCAAGAGTGGTAGCAAAATAGATGTGTCCCAAAATCCGTTCGACTTTTAAAGATGCTCACGGAAACCCTACATGATGAATTTCAAGATCACCACTCCTGTAAACTACAAAGCCTCCCAATATCAATTAATCATTCTTTCAAAAGATAAATCCAAATTGTACTAGTAATTTCAGTGGACCCTTTGGGGTGAATATTGCTGCAGTAACTGAAAAAAGTCCCTCGCTAAATAAAAAAAAGTTGATACCCCAGATTTTCGAGACCTGTCGGGAAACTTTTTTTTTTCTATCAGTGAACTTCATTACATCGATACAAAATTGTTCACAAATTTATGTTTCTTGGTTTTAGCCTTGAAATTTGTATTCATTGGTTCTTAGTTGTTAATATTTGTATCAATTGACCTGCGAAGAGCAATTATATCAAGCCTTTTGAGACATGGCAAAGCGAAACAGTACTCAGGCGGCGGGGTCGCCAGCCGCAACGGAAAAGAAAGTTGATGACGTTACAATGACCAATGAAAAGGCGGGTGAAGCCAAGGGAGAGGTTGCTCTGTCGGCAAAAGCATCTCAAGATGAGGTATACTTCACAACTCTTCGCACTTACCATGATAAGCATTTGGAAAATAGCTAAACTTTTTAATCAGAATGAAACTAGGGCGCCAGTCGACGGTGAACAAGCTACCGGTAGCAATAAACGCAAACGCGATTTCAAAGCCGAGCGCGAGGCCAAGAGACAGAGAAAGGAAGAGAGAAATGCACCTAAGAAAGCTGCGGCTGTAGTGCGAGAGGCTGAGGAGGCGATTGCAAGGGAAAAGAAGATTGCGGAACAGGCAGAGGCGAAGAAGATTAGAGAGGAAGAAGTGGCTAGGTTGAGGGAGCAGAAGAAAGAGGAAAAGGCGAAGAAACATGAGGAGAATTTGAGACAGCAGGATGAGGATAAACAGAGGAGGGTAGAGGAGAAGAAGAAGCAGGCGGAGGCGAAAAAGAGGGATGCGGAGGAGAAGAGGAAGGATAGAGAGAGGATTCAGGCGCTGGAGAAACAGGTTAGGGATTTGAAGAGGGGACACGGAAATGGAAAGGGGAAGGGAGCGAAGAGGAGTTGGGATAAGAAAGCAAAGGGACCGAAAACTTCGGAATTCTTTGGAGAGGGGTTGAAGGCGCAGGTTATTGGTGATGGTGACGATGAGGAGGTCGAGGAGGAGGTAAATGAGGAGGTTGCTGAAGAGGCAAAAGAGGAAATTAAGAAGATCAAATCGAAGCGCAGTTGGAAGGACCTCAAGAAGGGAAATGTCGCACCTACTGGTCTGGAAGCAAAGATTGCTGCTGCGAGAGCTTCAGTAGCCCAGGCTGAGGATACGCTAGAGGGAGATGTCACTATGGAGGATGCACCCGAAGTCAATGGCGAGCAAGAGAATAAGGCCGAAGAGGAAATCTCTGAACCAGCTGTCGGTAACTCGGATGTTGTCGCATATCCTTCTCTTGAGCATTTAATCGAAGACAAAGCTGAGGACATTTCCGAGTCTGCCGCTGAGTCCGACGCTCCAGCGCAAACAGAAATTGATGCAGAGATCCCAGAAGAAACTTCCGATGATAAGGCAGATGAGGAGCAAGAGGACTCGGAGATTCCCGAAGAAGATAGCAAGGAAACCTCGCCTGCCGCTCAAGAAGAAGACAAAGCCGAAGATGATTCTTCTAAGGAGAATGCTGCACCTGTAGCCGATTTAGATATGGAAGTTGGCGAGCCCAAGGAGGAAGTCGAGGCCAGTGCAAGTGCAAAGAAGCGTTCAAGAAAGAGAGTCAGAAACAATAATCGCTTGGAGGCTGAGGATACACCAACAAAACCTGCAACACCTGCTTCATCTAAGACCCAAAAGTTCAAGACGCCCACAGCTACACCTCTCTCATCAAAGAACCAAAATGTTAAGACACCTACAAAATCACCTGCACAAACAAAGGTGACAGTTGCAAAGAAGGGCAGACCTCCAGTGAAGGCAGCAAACAAGGCTCAGACTGCTCCCAAATCTCCTAATGTATCAGGAGATTCTAAATCGCCAAAAGCCAAGCGTGGAAGAGTACCAAAAGCTAGAGCTGCCGTTCTTGCCTCAGCACCAGGACTTGATTCTCCAGCTAGGAATACCAGGAGATCAGCAAAAGCCAACCACTCGTAGAAGAGCCAGAGTCTACGAGTGGTAGTCAACTTCTGGATATTAGTTTGAGTCACCATAGCTGCGAAATTGATGATGGCACCGTTGATGAATTGGGAGGAACAGATATAACCACCGGAACCAATAATGATAATGATGATGATGATGTTTACGAGTCAATCACATGCGAGTCCCCGGAACATTTCAATCACGAATCTCAAACACCCTCGAAAACGCTACAATCATTCAACGATATGGAACTACCTATCCTGAGGAAGACAGAATCCCTCAATCTTAATGCTGACGAGAGTGACTCCTCTGAGCTATCTGATCTAAGCATAACCGATCATCCCTTTCTAGCATCAGATAGTAGCGGTTTTGATACGATTGAAGTTGATGTCCCTAGTCTTCTGAGATCAGGAAAGAAACAAAGACCGCCTATGCATTCACCTTACTTTGCTCTACCACTATCTTCCACTCCATACAAATCTAGGAAATCCATAGTTTTGAAAGGAGAATTTACAGAAAAAAATCCTTCTCCCAAAAAGGAATCTCCTAAAAAAAGGCCTCCTGGCATAATTTCATGTATCCCTTTTCCACCTCTATCTGCACCTCATTTTGGACTCATCCAAGAAAAACTTGCCCATGATCCATTTCGACTCCTCATAGCCGTCACATTTCTCAATCGCACTCATGGTAAACAAGCCATTCCAGTTTTCTACACCCTAATGGACCAATACCCTACCCCACAATCAATAGTCGATGCTCCCAAAGAAGACATTGTCTCGGTAATCCGACACCTAGGCCTACAAAATCAACGCGCAGCTACTTATCAAGCTTACGCCAAAACCTTTTGCGAAAATCCACCAGTAAAGAATAAACGGTATGCGGTCCATGATTACCCCACTAAAGGACTCGGTCGCGACGTCAAGAAAAGCGAGGTCCTTCCCGAAGAATCCGTAGACCCGCGTACGGGCTGGGAAATCGGACACATGACCCAGGGACCCTATGCGATTGATAGTTGGCGGATTTTCTGTAGGGATATGTTGTTGGAGAAAGCGAAAGGATGGAATGGTGAGGGGAGTGAGGAAGAAGGTTTTCAACCTGAGTGGATGAGGGTGCTTCCAGAGGATAAGGAGTTGAGAGCGTTTTTGAGGTGGATGTGGTTGAAGGAAGGGTTTGAGTGGGATCCGCTGACGGGGGAGAAGGAGGTTGCGGGGAGGGAGGTCATGAGGGCGGCGTTGGAGGGGAGGGTTGCGTGGGACGAGGGGGGTGGGATGAGGATTTTGGACAGGGTGGGGGAGGGGGGGTGGAGGGGGTAGATGTTGATAATGTTGGTAGGACGGATGGATGAATGTCGAAATGTTAGATGGATGAGCTTGTTTTCTGGTATAATAGTTGTTTGATATAGAGCTTAGATGAAGTTGTATACTCTCTCTGTGTATTTTAGAAATATCGTGTGTGGAGTTTTGAAATATCAAAACAGAATTGAAATTGAAAGTCAAAGGTAAAAGTAAAAGGAATCGTGGATCTGAGTTCTTTCTTTTCTTGTCTTCTGTGTGTGTATATCTGGGAGTTTTGAATTCTGATTTCTTTTGTTTCTACTGTTCTCTTGTGGTTGGGTGGTTGGATGGAAGGGGGTAGTTGGGTGGGAGGATTATGTATATGTTGAATTCTTAGTGAGTGTGCAAGTACTCGGTTGTTGTTGATGAATCTTAGACTGTCCTCTTGTACTCTCTTCCTCTAATCTCCCCATGCAAAAATACACAGGGTTTACTGTCCGTTGTGACTTATCGAGTTGAGAATTCTATGTGGAGAAGAGATCGCTCGGTTAATGGATCTGTGAAACATCTCGGAGGAGCGAATATATCGACTAATAAGATAGGGGCATGCGGGAATGATAGCTAGAGATTGAGCGAAAAGGAATGTCAGTCTGAGTAGTACGTTGTTGAATACCTCTTTTCATCTCTGGAGGTTTCACCAATGACGCTGCCGTGTCAAAGAATCTCGACTAAATTGGCGGACGTCCAGTTATCCAGCTTTGTTGGGATAAAGAAGAATGTTCTTTGTACAGAAAATGATGGCTTCAAAGACACTACAATTTGATTTAGTCATACCTCTGTATAGTTGTCATCGTATTCACAAAACGTGTTCGAGCCCCAACTTCAAGTGCACTCAACCTGCCAAGTCGTCAAAAAGAACTATTTACCAGCTCTCTCCAATTTCTGCACATACACGGTTTTCAAAATGTCTCATGAAAACCCAGATAAAGAACTTTCTGAAATCATCGAACACCTTAAAGATGATATTCCCACCTTTCTCGAAAATCCAAAATTCACACGCAGTGAAATTGATTTCATACACGCGATGAATGGAGTTGTTAATCACGGAGAATATTTCCAAAATTGCCCCACGCGGTTGGTACCGTATCCAAAAGCTCCGAGGGGAGGTACCGCTGTCAAATTGGTTTTGTTTGTAACGGTATTTTTGATCTTGGTGGTTTGGTTGGCGTTGGCTTCGTTTTGGTTGCTGGTTTATACTGTTGTTGTGGCAGGAGATGGAGGAGGAAAATCTGGGGTCTTTGTCTAGCATTTGGAAAGCTCTTCGGAGGCTTGGTTATATGCTTCCTTGAAAACTTTGAGTTATTTTCTAATGGGTTTCTTGACGCGTTGAGAAGTTTGCTATAATTCGGAAAAGTGCGCTTTCATGGGAACTTTCCTGATCGGATGATCCACGATCCTCGCAGCGATTGCTACGTTTGAGGTTACACGTTTCGGATCAAGCAATACCTAGCTAGTATCTCCACTGTTAGACTACGCATTAGTATTGTTAGCGATGAATTTCTTCACACTACTATGTCGAATATTAATACCTAGTCACTCACTCCATCACCTATCAACTCCTAAATTCAAAATGCCACTTCATCGAAGGATTGAGGGATGCTATGCTATGTTGTAGCTGAAACTCGGGGTCTGTTTGTGGATTACATCACATATCTCTGGTCTCTTTGTTCCAACTGGATTAGCATTGGTGTTTCTGTAATTTATCAGTCTCGGAATATGCAATTCCAGAGAGTCTTCTGAGGCCACTAGAATTAGATCGAGAACGTACTTGAAGGATTTTGCTCACAACGAAAATTCGATTTTATTCCAATGTGCTGGAATTTTCAATATATCTGGTTATCTGAGACATGCTTCTTCTCTAGGCGACACGAGATTTGTCAGGTCTTTTTGGTTGGGATACCAGACCGACCTATGTACAGTGCTAGAAATTTGATGAGAATACAAGAGGGTTCGTGTAGGGAAATCATGGATCAACCACATTAGATAATTCTTCCAAATGTTGTTTCTTTCTTAATTTCACCATATCAGTCTATTTCTTTCTCAGGCGACATCTCCTCGGGTATATATTACAATACCATTCATTCATTTCAAGTCTCATGCTTCACAAACTTCGATTACATCAACCTGACATATCCTCGAACCATCACCACATCCAATCTCAGCAGACTATGAGAAGACTTCGAGCCACATGGCTCTCAAGCCAAGAATCTCCTTCAGCAGAGGTGACGATTACCGAGCCTGAACACCAGTGTACATGCACGAAAGTGACTGTTCAACAGCAACCTTCCGGAATATACATCGGTGTATTCCCAGCACTGGCTGTGTCTCTTGTGTTATGCATAGGCTTGGTATTCTCATGGCCATCGACACAAAACAAAACGGCTTGTGTTGGATGGTTATGCAACTTTCGGAGGGGATGAGGTAGCATCATGTAAACTTGGAATTTAAGTTTTGATATTTCTGCAATTTTTTGAGTACACAATGGTGTGATACTTTGAATCTGCTGCGTTGTGATATTATGTTCTTTCAACTAGATGGCTGTAGATTTTATCACGTCTTTACGTAGACATATTTCAAAACATATGACTTACCAACTCATGCGTTTTCTCAAACTCTTCTCCTTCACATAAGACCTTTGACAACACTTCGAAATCGCTCCGCGTGTTTCACCTAAAACTACATATACATACAAATAGTTTGAACTTTCATATCACATAGCCTTCTACAACAACTTTCTCACACGAATCAAATCAAGAAGCAGAATTGGCACGCAACTTTACAACTCAAACCGCAAGTACGCAGCCTCGCAGTGCAATCCCTGAAATCATGGTTTCCGGTCCTGAAACCAAATCTGCAAAGATGCCATTTTTTCTGACAAACGAAGTACGGCCACACAGCCAAAATCCCGCTTCCAATGTTACGCCCCTAAGAATGGCACATTGTGGTTATTACTCGTCCGGCCAACGATGCCGCCTACCTCTACCATCCACCCCACAGCCAGACCCCATAAGTGCTGAAAGTGCGCTACCCGAATCTTCGAAACTTACAACCCCCTCACCCATCGATAAACCTCAATCCACAGAATCTACATCTCATTATCTTTCCCCTCCGACTCCACCGCGTAACCAAGACAACAAAATCCTATTCCTCATCCACCGTATCTTCGAAGTCAACAACCGCGATACCAATTTCTTGACTCTCTGGAGACCGCATCTCGATAGTCTGGCTTCGACTACCTGTATGAGAAATAAAGTTGCGTTGGAAATGGTCGCAGGTTTGCAAAAGTTGCGGAACCGAGAAGTCAAGTCAGGCATATATAAATTTGCCTTGGGCATGTTCTGGGGGCATCTTTCTTCTTACCTGTTTGGAGTCTCTACTGGGGTTGGCTTGGCTGTTCTGATAGTTTATGGGGTGATTTCTTGGAAAGCTTGGCATGAGATTTGGGATGAGGAGAGTTTTCTCAATTTGTACGTCTAGTGATGCGGTTGGGTACGGGTAGCACGATAGCATTTTCTTGTTAGAAAGGGGGGTGGGTTGAGTTTTGCAAAAATAAATGCGAAACTCGCCCATTGCAAGCACTGGATGAGGATCGATATGAGCCTCGATATGAATTTGAATGGCAATGTTATTGCTGGGTTCAGTTTGGAATGAGAGAGTTGTGGCTGTGGTAGTATTGGAGATTGAGTTATGATTAGCTACACAAATGAACAGAGCTAGCTTGATAGAGTTTACGAGTGCTCTGGTACTTTTCCTTTCTTTCTTAGAGTATATATGATAGATTATGCTAGCAAGTTCTATAAGCATGTATGTTTCAATATGTAAAGTACAATAGTCTACATTTCATGAAAGCCTTTCCAATTTCCAGAATATGTGGATGTTATACACATATACACATATACACATATCACATAAAGTTTTTCGTATGAAAACAATCCTCAGTCACACTCACACCTAGGACTTCGATCTTAATATTAAGAGCACAGACTTCATTCTCAACTAAACAGTCTACATCTCAATCATACTACGTCTACTCATCCACCTGAATCATGGGTTCCATCTTTTCATCCATATTCGGATCGAGCTATTTTCAATTTGAGAGTACCCATACCACAAGTAGAAACTCTTCCGGCAAATCAAGTTCAGCCTGATCCTTCTTTTCTCGATATGGTCCTCAGAGTCCGAATGTGATAGAGCGGAAGCTGCTGGTTTCTCCCGGGTTGGTATGATTGGCAGAAGTAAATGCTTAACTCACGCCGAGATTCTATTTCCTAATCAAAATCTTATGAATGAATTGGGAGCAGGGAGAGGGGCAGAGGGGGATGAGAAGAGTACTTGGATTGGGTTGTGGGGGAATCAATCTGGCAGTCAGCCGCAGCGGAGATGGATGTATTTGATGAAAACAAGACGGATTACGAGACTTCGCTTAGGCGTTATTATGAAGAATAAGTTTTGCAAGACATCTTTGGTATTGGATTCTAACTCTTAATTTATTTATTTATTTATGTTTCCGTTAGCGCTTCTCTATTGTGAATATTGAATAATCACTTTGATCCTTATGAACAAGAATTCAATTGATCGAGTTGTCAGAGAAAACAGCAAGAGGTGATGAAACAGACTATGGAAGTCCCGTTTCCCGTAGATCATTCTAGCAATCAAATTTCTGGAATCATTCAGAACAGATCAAGTAATCCACTGGAACTTTCTTGGTCTTCTAGTCTATATATTTTTGAACATAAAAGGAGTATACTCCGCACTGACATTCTTTCTCTGATAATACCCAGAAAACTCCACATCGCAACATTACATCTCGTCGAATTTTCAATCCCAAAGCAACAACCAGCAGCCAACAATGGGGTCATACTTCTCAACTACCCGTACCGAAGACAACGATGTCACCACATCTCAAACCGCCAACTATTCCAGCTACCAATCATCATGGTTCGCCCACCCGTCAACAGGTGAATCTTGGTCCGCAGGATTTATAAGCCCTAACAATACCACTGGTCGACCTCGAAGTAATCCTTACACAAGTAATTATCTTGATCCAGGTTGGGTTACTCCGATTGTCAGGAACGGAAATTCTCGCAGATTCACATAGATTTTGTAAAGCTAGTTCTACATGGAGACTTGTGCATTATTATATCGGGTTCTAGCATCAATATTTTCGATTACATCTCCACTGAATACCATCCCTTGGATAGGGATCTTTCAACCTGGGGAAAAAATATTGGATACTAACCGGAATGGCGAGGAAGGGAGCTTGTAGCAGTCATGATAATAACGGTAGTACAAACAAGCTTTCAGACAAAGAAAAGTAAATGTGGAATAGAAGTGAAATCTTAGTGTTATTGTAGCCAGAGATCGAATCCAATAGCATCTTGCCATCAAACTCATCCAATGAATGTTTTCATCCGCAACCAACTGGTACCTCGCGATGATGATCATGAAGATATGAAATAACTCAGTCTCATCTGAGATAATTTAGTAGAAACGCATTGTTTTCGATTATCTACTCATGTGAGGACCAAATCATACTTCATATCCCCCAGAATATCAGGTTAAGTTTAAAAATATCATTACCGATTTGATCCAAATTTTACCACATAAAACGTATGCAATATCATGCAGTACAGTTCCTCGAGATCGAATAGCAAGCGCATAAGTTAGTAAACTAGCTTGGCACCATATACTTCCCAAAATCGATATTTCCATACCTACCAATTTTTAATCAATGATCAAATAAACCCCAAAACAAACTTCTACCAACAATCTCCTCCCCCCCCATTATACACGAATCTCCACAATCCTTAACCTCACATCGACTTTGTCGTTGTATTACCCAGACCAATTCTCCGAGAAGTGGACACCCGCCCACACCCGCCCCGCCCCCTCCTCGCTTAAAACTCTTCCAGAAAACTTTTCTCGCTAAACAAACTTGCTTTATATTTCTATTCTCAGTCACCTCTTGCATCAAAGCAGATTAATCAATCAATCCGGCATGGTGTAGTGGCTAGCATTTCCGCCTCTCATTCGAAGCTTCACAGTTTCAATCAGGTCGCGGGAGACCGGGGTTCAATTCCCCGTACCGGAAAAAACCTTTTGCGGGTTTGAATGAGGTGTGGTATCGTGGGTACATGGCTTTTTTGATGTTTTCAGAGGGGGATGATCGCTTTTTGGTTACTTGGTCTTGGAGGGGTATATGGTTAGAGTTGCTTGAGGGTGGAGCGGTTTTGATTGGGAGTCAGAGATGAGGAGATAGTTTGTGGAGTGCATAGGGAAGGAATTTCCGCTAGCCTAGGTGAGAATAGACGTCTACATATATTCCCATCATCTTGCAAAAGCTTGGGCAAAATGTGTATGCAGCATAGTTGCAAGACTCCGGTCGCAACTCAAAAGTACACATTTTTCCTCTTGATTCCTTCCAAATTCCCATCCCTCACCCTTCCCACCAAATAAACAAAACTTCATACACGTGAAACATCCCATCGAATCCCCTTTCCTTTCTCCTCATCTGCAACTTCGAAATCTAATCTTAAACAAGTCTTTGTACCAATAAATCGCTTTCTCACACGATATTCTCGAACCAACTCAGGATGAAACATCTCTCTCTCTCAACCCCAAGTACGATAATATCACATCTCCTCAATTGCATATCACGAAACTCATAGACACTATCTCACGTCTCACCTCCCCTTAAAAAAACCTATAAATCAAATCACCAATCATCACAAAAATCATCGATGATCGATCGATCTCATGAATCTTAAATTCCTCTATCCATCCATCTATTCATCCAATAAATACCAACTACAACCGACAGAACACTAAAGATCATTTTCCACTCGATCTATAATCCTCATTTCCCATCCAATTTCAAATCTGAAGTCTCGAGTGACTTCAAGGAGACTTCAACTTCACACACATATATATCTATATAGATATATAATAGCCACGTCACCTACTTAAACATCATTTGATTTTCCAGATTCTAAATTCTTGGATGTAGATTACGAGAGTGGAATGAATGTCGAAAGAATCTTTCTTACTATTCTCCTCATCGCTCTTCCATTGAACTTTCTTCAGCGTCGTATTGTCTCATATCAAACACACACGTACGTTCAAGCCCATGAAAACTCCAAATCTCATTCACACGTACATAAGCCCGCCCGAACACCACAATAATCCCCAACTCAACCACCTACCCAAAAATATCAGTCGCACATCTATCCACTAAGCCATTCCTAAACCTTTCCTCCAACTCCTCTTCACTCCCCTCAATCCTCATCCCCTTCTCCCTCAACCTCTCCCTCACAATTTCTCTCGCTGCTATCCCTACCTCTTTAACAAAAGCTCCTCCACCGCAAACATATACTCTCGCCCCTTCATCCCACAACCTCAAAATATCCTTCTTATCCTTATCCGCCAACATCCTTTCTTGCACATATTTAAACCCCTGTCCCATCCTCACCGTCTCTCTTTCACTTGGCGGGGAATCCGAATCGCGTGAAAAAGAATATCGGATGTTGACTACACCGAGGTCTTCCCATCTGTCGAATTCCCGCGCATATAGACGATCGGACGTTGAAGATCTACATCCGACGAATAAAATCGCAGGAGCGAGTTTGCGATCCGGTGAGGCGGCAGCTTGCATGGCGCGCTGTTGGATAAAGCCTCTGAAGGGTGCAATCCCGGTGCCGGCGCAGAACATGAGGAGAGGGATTCGCTTGATGTCCAAGGGGAGACGAAAGAGTTTCTTGCTACTGGGTCGGACGGAGACTTTGATAGGATCTCCGGGGAGGAGAGAGGAGAGATAGGTTCCGCAAATACCGGCGTAGTGCCCCAAGCCGGAGAAAGAGGGGATGGAGAGAATGTTGTAGGTTATTGTGCATGTGTTTGGGGAATGGAGAGGAGAGGAGGAGATGGAGTAGTAGCGGACTCGCAGGGGAGAGAGAGATGAGAGAAAATCGCGGAAATTGAGTTTGATTGATGGGTGTGCTTCTAGGAGGTCAATGATACTCAGGCGTTTGGCGAGGACCTCTTTTTCGTAGATTTCTGAATCTGTAGACATGGTTACGAGGTGTTGTTTCGAGTTTTGGTCAGTGGTGGAGTTGACCATTGTTTGAAGCATCTATTCCCGGTTAGTCACCTAGTGTAGTGTATGGCAAGGTGAACGTGATCATATGGAGTACATACCTTTCTACTAACGGGTTCGAATAGCTCTACATACCCCGCCAATATATCCCTAATAGAAAGCGGAGTATCAAGTGGTAAAGTGCCCAAACTCTGACCTTTGATAACAATGGTCGAATCCCAAGTTAGTCCAAATACTTTCATAACCCTTCTAACATTCTGATTCGAATTCACTGGGAGAACAGCAAGATAATCTCCACTTTCATATGTCATATCGGGAGGGAGTTCAATTTCCAGATGACGTTTCTCAGGTGTTCCTGGTGCTGTTAATACTTTAGCTTCAACTACAACACCATCTTGGACATCTCGTCGAAGACTCGTGACGCCTGGTTGAGTAGAAATTTCAAGATGCATTCCTGTTTCCAAAACTACCCCTTGAGATTTTGAACCACGGCTGATTTTTGGCCAAAAAGTTTTGTTCAACCAGTCATCGAAATCACCAGATAGATCCCCTTTGGCTGCATCTGAAAGACCTCTCGGTACAAGTCTTAAACTTCCAAATTCGGCCATGCGATTATCTACTATCGTTGGTATTTTTTGAAATGTAGATCTCCAATCACCTGATACTCGTTAGATTTATCGTTACAGCGATGAGATATTTTGACTTACTATGGCCGCAACCAAAAACAGCAAATTGTGTTCCTGAAAGTGCAGTTGGCTCGAGTTTCCCCAACCAACTGACGAACCTAGCTGCATTATCTGGTGGGTGACCCTCATATGAAGCTGTAATGATAACGATAGGTTGAGATTTAGGTAATGCTCCAACTACACTATCCATTTCCATAACTTTGGCTTCAAAACCATTTCCAGCAGCTGTCGAAGCCATTTTTTGTGCGAAAGCAAGACAAGTCCCTGTATTTGATCCATAAATAATTGTCATAGGTTTGGAATCCAACTTTAGGCGTGAGACATCTGGTAATTCTGAAGGTGCCGTGGAATTTTCTGGTGACTCAATACTTGTCGACGGTGTGCCCCTTAGAAAATGCTCAAGATCCATAGCTGTCATACCATGACGTAGTGTAGCTCGCATAACAAGATCCTGTGGCTTGATAGTGAGTGTTTGCTTGATGCGCAATTTATATCCCGGATCATGGAGACGAAAATCAAAGTTTTGTAAAAGCATAGCTGTAACCATCAATGCTTCTTGCCATGCAAACGCACGTCCAATACATGCTCTAACTCCACTTCCGAATGGCTATTAATTATGTTAGCTTGGTCAAATGAGGTTAATCTAGACACTTACTTTCCAAGCCGCACTTGGTAAGTTCTTGAAATTGTCTCCCATCATACGTTCTGGTTTGAATTCATTTGCATCAGATCCATAAACATTAGGATCCTGTTGTACAGCTCCAAGTAGCACAATAATCTTGTCAGTTGGTTCGATCTTATATGTTCCACGAGAAAGAGTCGCTTTTTCTCCACTAACACCCTTAACAAGCCGTTTTGACACAACTGGAGCAGTTGGCGTGAGTCGTAACGATTCTCTGAGTACACCATTTAAATACTCGAACTTATTGAGATGCTCTACACGAACAGGTCCTCTACCAACCACTTGGTCTACTTCGCGCTGAGCTGCATTATATGCATCTGGATTTTTCATTAAATTAAGAAAAGCAAATGAGAGCAGCCCGGATGTAGTTTCGTGACCTTGATATTTATGTTAGCCGCGAGCAATAAGTGTCTTTGATTTATGGCATACCAGCGATCAAAAAAGTAATCATGTTAGCTATGATTAAATCATCTCTCATTTCATCCTTATTCTTGGGATCTTTTCCACTAAGCATGGCATTCAGAAGATCCCTTTTATCTGTAGGGTTTTGTTTTCGATGTTGTACTAAGTCTTGAGAGACCTCAAACATATAATCCAGATCTCTTTGGAATTTGGCGTTTTTTTTTCTCATCAAACTG